CATCTTGTACAGCAAATAACCACTAGAAAGAGAGTATGCAATGTGTTAATTATTGAAACTGTCATACCAATTTGATTTGAAACTGTCCCTTTGCTGTTTCTCTCTCAATAAAATTATGGGGGAAAAAAAAAAAGAAGTCAGGTGCTTCCTGCCTCAGGGCTTGGGCTTGGACCCAAGGGCCTCTAGATAGAAGTCCTCTGTCTGAGGGACAACTGGAACAAACTTTCTCTTACTCTGTGTGTTTTTCTTTCATTGTATTGGTTGACCTCATTCGTGGCCCTGTCTTGCCCCGTTTCCCTGTTAACCCTCCACCAAAGGGTAAAACTACTCCACTTAGGGGTAAATGATTGCATGTAAGTTCTGGATATATGTTGGGTTTTGTTATAGAACTGAAATTTGCTTCTGTGGTTAAAGATATCAGACTGATAGTAATTCGAGCTCACCAGTAGCTAGGATGTGCTGGAGACTATTGTGATGTCTAACTGCACTACTTTAGCCAGAATGTTACAGTTTTTCCCCTCTGTAGGACAGCACTGTATTTGTATGGAATCAGAGCATGGCCACAGTCCAGTCGCAAGGGACTGGGTCCTGAGCCAAAGGGATAGCAACTTTTCATCCTTCTATATTGGGAAGTCTGGTTTTGGGATAGGCACAAAGAGCAAAACCCACCTAACCCGGAAGACACCCCTGAGGAAAAGCCATTTTCTATGGAAGTTAAATAGCAGGCATAAAGCTATCTACCATAAGAAATCTACAAGCATTACTCGGGCATGATGGTGCACGCCTGTAATCCCAGCACGTTGGAGGTTGAGCCAGGAGGATCATTGGGAGTTCGAGACCACCCTGGTCTATAAAGTGAGCTCAAAGCCAGCCTGAACTGCATAGTGAGACACTGCTCCCCCCTCAAAAAAAGAAAAGAAAAGAAAAGAAAAATCTAAAAGCATCCACACAGAAAACAAAATAAAATAAAAAATGACAAAGCAAAGAAGCAAAATGCAACCTCCAAGCCCCAGCCCTCCCAGGACAAGTTGGAAATCAGAAGCCAACCACTAGAACCTTCTAAAGTGATAGCAACAGAATTAAAACCAAAAAAGCAAGTGGAAGAGACCGTAGGGAAAAAAAAATCTTTTTTTTTTTCCCTCCTGCCACCTCTCTCCCAGTTGCTTAGTTAGCATTGGAGCAAAAAACATTTTGGGTTTGGTGATTATAGAAATTCAAGCAGTATACCCTGATAAGAAAATTTTTTTCCATAATTTTATGGAGAAACAAATAGCAAC